AGCATACCTTAAATTGCATTATTGTTGATATTTTATCTTAAACAAAGTAATATATATTATTTATAACTTGATATTTTTGTTGTGGAGTAAAGCATTTTTCACTTGTGAACACTTTGTCTTAATTATATTCATTTACGTTCAAGTGATGGAGAATATTACAACTCAGATTGTTTGGTAAAGAGCAGATGAATTTACGTCTCCTCATATAGGCCAAGAACCTTACAATGAATAGTTAAGATTTATAAACACTTTAACGATCTAATGGTTAGGTGTCACAGGAATGACCCTTGTTACATTAGGAGAGTTCTGGTTCTAAAACTATTCAGACAATAATTTAATTCTAAAATTATTCAGACAATAATAATAATTCTAAAAGGCACTGCCATGTCAAATGGGACACAGGGCATTTGGTGGCCCAGGTAGTAAATATAAAATTAAATTTTAAAAATAAAAGAAAATAATTGTAACAAATTTTTTGGGGGTGCATTTTTAATGTATATATATATATTTTAGAGTATATCTATAAATAAAATGAGAAAAATAAAGAGAAAGGATTGTTTAAGATAAATGAGGTTGTAATCACTCTTTTTCTTCTCTTTAAATCATAAAATAATAATAATTATTATTTAAGTGTCTGTGTATCTATATATATATATATATATATAAACATAGTAATAATATGTTGTAGCAAGGATTGCAACACTTATTTTTATTAGATTTAAAATTTTAAAAGCAAGATTAAAGACTTTGAAAGTATCACAAGTATTAATTACTCTGCAAACCATCTTATAGAAGTACTTTCAATTACTATCTATACAAATGAAAATTTTAAAATAATTTGAAAGGTCAACATTAATTTTCCAATACAAAATCATCATTAAAAGTTATGGATCCTCCGCCCAAAGTTTTTTTTTTTTTTTTTTTTTGACTGACTGAGCCCAAAGGTTTTTTAAAGCTTAATATTGAAACTTATTTCAATATTTCCAAGGAAGTATTCGGTGTAACCATTATGAGAGACCACCAAGGCTCAACGCTTAAAGTACTAAATCGGTTGAGGCTATTGTCTTCAAGGAAGGCTTGAAATTACTAACTCAATGTAGATATGTTAATGGATCGAATTTTGATCTGAATCCAATTTGATAATTCGAATATATATTGAAGATTTAATCCGATACATCGTTAACAATATGAATCTGATAATCTATTAGATAAACAAATTGAATATGAATTATGGTCAATCGAATCCAAAATAATATTTTATATAATATGTTAAACATACATAATATAATGGGTAATTATACTAACCTCCCTTGAGATTTGAAAAAATTACACATGGATAGAGGGTTTGATCTTTATTACTTTTACATTCGTTAAAAGTGTGAAATATCTTTCATACTCTTATTTAATTTAATAATAGTTTAATAAAAAAAATTGTCAAACCAAAAGAGAATATTAACTTCTTTTTTTTTTCTTCCCTTATGCTAAACACTATATTAGCCTACCTAATTTTATTTTTATTATTATTATTTTATGAAAAGAAACCTAATCAAAAGTCATTAAAAAAAAAAAAAAAACTACTTTCATAAAATTTAATAATATGAAATTGGTATAAAAATTTATATTTTGCATTTTAATGGCATTTCATTGTATTTTTGTTATTTCATGTAAAACAAATAAAGTTATTTAGATCTTATAACACAAGAAAATGACAACTAAGTCATTTTTAAATTTTTAGTAACAGAGCAACAAGGGGTGTCGTTGAGCACACGTGCAAAATCTTAAGGTAGATCAAAGTAATAAAGGTCAAAGACACTACCTGTATTTAATTTGTTCAAACCTCAAGAGAAGACAATGTAATCTACCTAAATATAATTTTTTGATATATATATATAATATTTACATATTATAAAAATATTATTATTACTAATTTTACGTCTTCTTCTATCCTCTCTCTCTATTTTTATATTATTCCTAAGTGTTTATTCATTAACAAATAGTCTAATTTAGAATTTGCAAATCAGAGATGCAAGGAACCAAAGCCAAATATTAAAATTTGAAGGAAACTAATTCCATACTTTTTCATCCACTTCTTTCCTCTCTATTTTTTTATTACTCCTAAGTGTTTATTCATTAACAAATAGTCTAATTCAGAATTTGCAAATCAGAGATGCAAATCAGAGATGCAAGGAACCAAAGCCAAATATTAAAATTTGAAGGAAACTAGTTCTGTACCTTTGCATCTCTCAAACACAGGTGTTGGTGACAGTGGACTGATCCACGAAGGCACTGAAAGGGCTTCTATGAACAGACTTTTAAACAGACAGCATTTTTAGTGATTCTTGCTTCTAAAAAAGTAATTTATAGTCATTGTCAAACGTACGAATCTTTGTAGGTAAAGCTTCTTGTAGGGGTGTCGTACCCAAAAGACTTGTATTCATTAAGTTGTTAACAGACTTCTTAAATTCTAAATTAACTTAGAAGTAGAACAAATAAGTTTTTGATGATTTAATCAAATGAACTAAATAAAAAATTAAATTAAAGGCAATAATCAAATTAGACGGAGAAAATATGAGAGAAGAGACTAGGGATATGATTTCACTACTAACGTCGTACTACCAGTCAATTGCATCAATTTATTGGAGAGATATGAAACATGCATAAGAAATTAATTATGGCTATAAGTACATAGCTAGAACATGATATAAAATTAAAGATAAGCATGTACTATCTTCTATTAACATAAACCATTTACCTAACTACTTTACTTTAGGGTATAGTATGGTATATCTTTTTTAAGCATAACCCATCAAATCTCTAATATTATATTCAGTGAAAAACCATTGCATAACCATCTCATTCACAACTATAAGAAGTAAATGAGTTGTGTTCAATCACAAGATTTAAATACCTAAGACAAGATAAAAAATAATTTGCAATTGAATTAAAACTTTAAAACCGATTTCTATTAAAAAGTTAGGTAAAAATTCTATAGGTTACACAATCATGCATGAAAATATTGTTCTCCAATAAACAAAAACAATAAAACTAGTGGTGCTAAGCTAGGGCTACATCACAGCCCTAGCAAAACTTTTAGCCGCTCATGAGGAATGGACTTTTTCATGGTTGAGGAAGACATTTTCACCACCATAGATCGATTCCTTCTTTCTTCTGTATGCTTCTTCTCTAATCTGAGCCTCTAGCTCCTCTCTATATGATGATCTTAATGATGTAGAGAACTCCCTTTAAATAAGAGAAGAATAGTCCCAAAGTTCCGTTTTACAAATGGAAGATATATATGGAAATTCTGTCAAACAAGAACTACAAAATTCATACGGACTTCCAGCCCAATTTTGACAAAGTAAACAGCTGCAAAATTGTAGATTTTCAAATTTCCTTTCAACCTTCACAAGAATTGAACTGTTTTGACACTCGAGGAAAAAGATACAGAGAGAATACCAAAACGGATTCAAGTTACCAATTTTGGAGAAAGTTCCCTAATTAGAGAAATATTATTCATTTTCTTCTTATTTCCATTCTCATTAGCTTGTCGCCTTTCTTGGACTCTTTTCTAAGTCTAATTAGACTCGGATCTTCATCATTGCTCCGTCTAATGGATGTGGTCTTCTAGCCTTTTGGATATCATCTTTTAAAGCCCAAAATCACTGGTCTTGACTGATATTACAACTAAAGCCATAGAATAAATAAAAATACTAAAATAATGTAAAATCACAAATAAAACTACTACTAAGAGCATAAAATATATAAGTTAAGGGGTTAAAACGTATAACAATCAGCATTTAATACACCCCCAAACTTACATATTGCTAGTTTCATAACAATAAAATTAAAGAAACATAATGATAACTACAATACCGTCAAGAAGATAAATGCACATATGATCAAGAACTAAGCATAACTCATCTTCGGTTGGTATGGGCTGTCTAGATTATGCAACTATCATACATATGAATAAATTTCCCCAATTATAAACACAATTAAACAAATATTACTTGAATGTAATTACATCTATCCCGAATAAGAAAAAGAAAACAAACAAAAACAAAATAATGAAAATAGAAAAAACAAACACTGAAGGGGCAGGAGCCCTTTCTTGGACTCCAATATGTGGCTCTGTTCTTCTACCTTCCCTCCGAGTCTTCTATGGGAATGTATAGCTAAAATCTTGAAAAATCTAATTCTTGTATGGAAATTTATAGTGGAAATCCTGAAACAATATTCTTCTTGACTATTTCTATTTCCTCCTGATTTTGCTCATATTTCCCATCATTCCCTACTTTCCTTTTATATTTATTTCTCTCCTATCTCTTCTTTTTTCCTTCTCCATCACGCGGGTTTGTCCTCTGGACAAATCTTTCTTGGTTGGTCTGGATGATGATGTGGCAACTTGTTGGTGATGTTGACGTGGTAAGTGGTGGACCCGCTGATGCTGACGTGGAATGATGGATAAATTGTGCACCTTGGAGAGTTGAACCTGAGACCTCTAAAGAAATAATTTCATCAAGCCATATTAAAATTGGTCCGAATCATTTGGTTCGGATTGCTCTAAATTCAGTATTTATGTAGTATAGATGCATTTTTGAGTCGGAGAGAGTATTACACAGAGGAGGTTTGCCGTATCCACGAGTCTGTAGTGCTGCTACTGATGGATGTAAACTGTTGTATCCTGGGAGACAAGCGCCATAGAGTCCGTCAGTACTATGCAGGACGTAAATTGTCTTAAAGACATAGTATTCAATACTAGCCTCGGTCCAGGTTCTTTATTTATTATTTTAATTTTATTACTTTAATTTGCATGTTTAATTAAATATCGAGTTGCATATTTAATTAATTATTAATTATCTCATCGCATATTAGTATATACTTAGTTATATCTTAAATGTAATTTCAAACATATATTTTCCAACATTTCTCACTTGAATTTGGCTGCAAAAGCGCAATTAATTTTCTTGAAGCACAATTACAAGTGGGAGATGAAATGCAAAACTAGTCTCATTGATAGTGGCACAATACAATACTTATTTAGTCACATAATATAAATACAAGTTTTTAATGTTTTCCAAGTTTTTCACAATGCCAGCCATGCATCTTTTCAACAATCTTCAACAATGAAAAATCTTTGTTGAGAGTTCCTAATCAGCTATGGTTACTGAGGAAGGTGAGGATGAGGTGATTCACTTGGTCAGGGAATTGTTCCTGAACAAAATGGGTTCCTTCAGGCAAGTATGTTATCTCCAATTTCGGAACATAAACTTTCACCTGTCCACTCCTTATGTACTCATCCATTCCTGGAAATTTGAGGACATAATCTTTCTCACCCATAATCAGCAGGGCTGGGGCTTCAACTTTCGGATCTGCTACTTCAGACCCTTCATTTAATGACCTATTAAGTAAAAAAAAAAAAACACGTCATTAACAAACTTATTCTTATTAGAAAGCAGGCAGGCAGTTGTCGATCAGCTATAAAAGCTGCAATATTAGAAAAAAATTTACATGATCCCGATCAAACACAAAATGACATGTACCTAAATGTACATGTCAACATTATTAAGCTTTTTGGTTGTACGTTTTCCTGTGATTGACCAATACCATATAATTCCAAATCATGTAATAATTTCTTGGCGGGTGTTTATAGTGAAATAACAGTTGCATCACATACGTTTTTTGGATTGGTAGCTGTTATCATTGTAGACAAAAAGAACAGTAGGGGAAGATATATAACATGCAGTTGCCTTATACGTACGTACAAACGAGGAGCCACTTGTTTTGAAAGATGGATGGAATCCATTACCTATATGGAATTTGCAATGCAGTTCGGAATCCAGATTTCTCATACAAAGCTCCATAGACTGCAAGATCTTCCTCTGTGAACCAAGGGGGCAGAGGAGTTGATGGTTCCACCAAATCCATGATCTCTTGGTTTTCGTGGGCTGTTGGTATTTCACTTTTAGAGAAGAGGATGTAAATGTTCCGCACAACTGTTTTAGCATCAAGCCGACCAAAATCTGCTTCAGCCCGTCCAGGTTCCTTTGAGTGCATTAAGATAATGAAAATGAAGTTAAATTGCAAGCAGATAAAATTGGTTTTTCGTTTATGAACAAATATATATGGAGAAAATTAATTACCATAAATCTGGAAACGTAGAAGCCTTCATCATTAAAGAATGTAGGTGGACCTGGGGGCATGCATGGCACACCTAATGTCACAACTCCTAAGACCTTCTTTGGGTGGAGAATGGCAAATTGATAAGCTGGCCACGCCCCAAAATCTTTACCAATGAGAAAAACTCACATAATATGATGAGCAAGAGAAAGTACTTTTGAAAGAGAAGATTGCAAACTAGAAAGAAAAAAAATGCACAATACTTTTTCATCTTCACATTAGCATTTTTGACGAATTCACAGGTTTGGCTTCGCGTGACTATAAAGTAGAGCATCTATCTGTTATTTTGCAAAAACAAAAATGTATATAAATTATTAAGGAATTATTACATATGCATGGACTTTTGGACATTTACTTTTTTTTTTTTATCATTTCATAGGGTTAAAGTTGTGATGTTTGGAAAAAAATTAGGTTAACCAAAATGCTGATGTGAGTGTGAAAAAATATTGTTCATCATCCCAAATTAACACTTATTATATTCGGGTACCACTTTTGTATACGTAAGTACTCCTCTTGTGCACACATATACTAGTTTTTGTGCGCGTAAGTAATTTTTTTTTTTTTTTTTCCTTCTGTTAACTATTTTGATAACATAGTTTATACAAAAAAAAAAAAAAATACTGCATTGTAAAAGAGTGATACCTCTTGCACAAAAGTGGTACCTAAAAATAATAAAAGTAAATTATGCAAATACATTATTTTTTTATATCTGTCACCATTTTGATGAACTCTATTTTTTTGGTTTCTAAATATTAAAATGATAAATAAAAGGGTAAAATACAATGACCTTTGTTCAGGTTTGGACTAATTACAACTATAACCTCTCTCTGCACCACAACCGTCAGCACCGCCGGCTTCGGAATCGACAGCGGTGCAAACATCACAACGACCTTCATTCATGTTTATATATCATGTCCCAAATGATTTACACTATAACAAACCACAGCGACGACCACAGGAAACTCCTAGCGACGACCAGACGGGGCTCGACGTCAGCAATGAGAAACTAACGAGACGATGAAGAGTTACGGCACCGACGAGGGAGCTGCCGCCACTGCCGACCAACTACCACTCTCTCTCTATAACTCATCTTCAATTACCCAATCTCCATGTATTTTCTCCAATCCGGCGGAACCCAATCAAGAACCCACATAGCCTAAGGCCATAGAAAAATCCCCAAAATCAATATTGTCAGGGTCGATGATGGAGAGTATGCACAATACATTAATATTGTCACTCATTTATTAATAATGGTATTGTATACTAATGTATGATTATTTTGTTATTTCATGATATTTTAAGGATAATATGGTCTTTTAAATTTAATTGAGGAGTATTTTGATCACTTCAAATAATTTTTTCGGACAAAAAAGATTGATGGAAGGGCATTGCAAAAATGGGCAAAACTGAGTACGTTGTTACAAAATGACAAAGTTAAGTACCCCTTGTTACGAAATGACAAATATGAGATTTAATTGTAATTAGTTCAAATTTCAAAAAAAGAGTCAACGTAATTTACCCTAAATAAAAATCCAAAACTTGTGTATACATAAAACGAGTAATTCCAATTTTCAACTACAAAATGAGAACTGAGAAGTGGGAAGAGTGAGGAAGTACCTTGGGAATGCTTAGTGCATCAATAATGGCAAGCAGGTCGGTGTTAAGGTCAGAGAAGGAGGACTTCTCTGGTTCGGGCGGTGGATCGGACAGTCCGTAACCTCTGGAATCGGGTGCGAGCACTCTGAACCCAGCATTGGCTACGGCAATCATCTGGTGCCGCCAACTGTACCAAATCTCTGGAAACCCGTGCAAGAAAACCACCACCGATGAGCCAGTTCCGATCTCGGCCACGTGAAGCTTCATTCCATTGACGTCTACGTACTTGTGCTCTATTTGATCCATTGAATTCAATTCTATTGGAGAGAGATAAAGAGGGTATCTTTGTCTTTAGAAAGTGCCTTACTGAGCATTTTGTTTTCTATATATATATATATATAGATAGGCAGGCCTCGTGTTTTGTAACTTTTTGATAACTGACCATATGTCTTACGTAGGCAAGTGTTCTCCTTTGTTTATGTACTCCATAAGTTGGGTGACTTAATCAACTTTTGTTATATACTCCCTCCTTGGTCATGCTGTTTTTAAAGTGTCATATTTTATTTATTTATTTTTTTAATTTTAAAATAAATATTTATTTTTTTATTTAAATAATATATTTTACATCTTTTCATATATATTTTTTGAGTTTAAAATTTTAAATTTAAATATTCAAAATTTAAAAGACAAAATTAGTAATTTTTTAAGAAAATAATGCATATTGCACGTGCTATCTTAAAAATTATTGTTCCTTATAAATGACACTTAAATTAAGTCGGAGGGAATATTTTATAAGTTGGGTGACTTTAATCAACTTTTTGGCATTGGGCATTTGTCCTTTGTTTTATATAGTACTGTTATATATATATATATATATATATATATATATATATATACACACACACACACACCCTTGAATTTTTTATTTTGATTATTTTGTTATTTCATGATACTTTTGGCATTGGCATTTGTCCTTATACATCGAGATTCAAAATAAAAAATTTATTCACACCATCTTATTTGACACAAAAAGGAGTAGTATTTAATAAAGAAATATATATATATATATATATATATATATATATATATATATATATGTATAACATTCATCTAATTATTGTGAATAATTTTTTTTACTTGTCGGTGTGTAGATATTATTGTGAATAATTATTGACAATGCGTGGGATAACAATAAATTATTACATGTTGCCTGGATGGCTAATCACTAAAAATAAAAAATAAAATAAAATAAGAAAATAAAAGAAAAAGATAAGTGTTGATGGCTTAATCTAAAAATAAAGTTGTTCAAGAAAATAAAAGTAGTATAATCTTTCATGTGTATGAAACATGCAGTGAAGTAAAATGAAATAAAATGCAACATTTTTTATTTTCATTATTATATTATATATAAATATACTTTTGTCTTTTTCTTAATTTAAATGACAAGAAGCTCCTAATAATTTTTTACTTTTCCGGTAAATACTTTGATTCCAAGTTAGGTTCAGTAATGTCATTCTGCTTAATTTAATAGTAGAGTGCATTTAGTAAAGAATGCATTTTTTTTTTTTTTGATAAGTAGTAAAGAATACATATCTTAATGGGTTTCAAAGGCAAAATATCAATAATTTGTTTTAAGAAATATGAAGAATGCAGATAATCACATAAGATTTTGCTTTGTTCGGTAAGCTTTCTGATTTTGCTTTGTTCAATAAGCTTTCTATTTTATATGACTGGAAAAATGACAGTTTAAAATTTCTTTTTCAAAGACATTTTTTTATTTTATAATTTCCATAAAATATTGTTTATTTTTAAAAAACTAACCACACATTATCTAACCTTTTTTTTTTTTTTTTCCTTTTAAATTATCTCACTTCAGGAAGTTTAGTTTGCTTAAAATAAAATGAAATAAAAAATCAAATTGTGGGATAACAATGCAATGTAAAGAATGGGGTCGTAGTCGCACACCAACTCCCATCTAATAAATAAAATAAAATAAAGTCAAATCGTGTAATAACAATGCAATATAATGAATGGGACTTCGACTATTCCTTTAATGCTGCCACCAAAAAAAAAAAAAAAAACCTTTAATTATAAAAAAAAAAATAATGCGTTGTTTTAAAATACAAAAACCTAACAGTACAATTATTTACTTAAAGAGTTTTATGTTTTGCAAGATTTTCACAATATCCCAGCCAACCTTTCAACAATGTTCAACAGTGAAAACTTTTATCCAAATATAAAGATTTTGATTAAAAAAAGTTACCTTATTTCTAACTGTTTTCTTATTCAGCTGTTTTATCTTAGGTTAGAGGCAATATGTATGGAGTATGTTTTATCGGGCTAATTTGTTGATTGGCCCAATTATCACTTTACAAAACAATTAGAAATTGTGGCAAACCAGGCCACCAACTAGGCCCAATGTCAACAGCCTCTGTTGGGTTGGGTTGGGTTGAATCATGCATGGATTATTTAACCAGCCCAAATGTTCTCTCTCTTTTATTTCTCTCCTTTTTTGGCAACTTCCACAAATGCTGATATCTCTCTCCTCTTTTTCTGAGACTTCCACACACACACACACACACACACATATATTTTTTTTGATCTTGTCATATGTTTTAAGTAAATGGAGATTTTAAAAATATTTTTGAGGGTTTTTCATTTATGGACGTTGGTTCATGTTTAGAAACATGTTTCATGCAAGAAAAAGATAATATTCAACATTTCAACATACATAGAGTAGAATACTCACGCCAAAAACTTGAGCAAGCCTCAAATCTCTCTTTCCTCAGTTATTGAAGATACATTAAATTGGATTCATCCTCCTTAGACCTCCTCTTCAAGTTGATGGTTTTGTCTTTAGAAATAACCCATATGCCTCCTCCTTTGTAAGTGTTATAGTATTTTATTTACATTAGTAAAATTGTGAAATGTATATTATCATCATTATTATTATTATTAATTCACATATATAATTAAAATAAATGATTAAACATTTGTATTTATGAATGTGGATATTTTTCTTTGTCATATCGTGTGTCATTAAATAGTTTATGCGACAACATTTTTTTCTTCACGTATTTATTGCACTTTAATGTAGTACATGCATTAGCAATATATTAGTGGCACAATCAACACTTCAGTGACCTAGTGGCCCTATCTTATCAAATGGAGATCAAAATTTTGATCCTCCATAAACATATGTGTTAGAAATATATATATATATATATATATATATATATTAGTAACACATATCTAAGGAAAAAAAATCCCCTCCACATGATCCATATCCACTTAGGTCCATGGCACAGGATCTCCACTCAACCCACGATCTAGCCCAATGAACTAAAAGGAACATTAAGAAAAACCACATGTTACTACTACCATTGAATTATACAAGTGAATAGAAAAATGTGTGAGGCGTGGACGTCCAAGATCTATCATGACGTGGGGTATTACTATTGGACGGTGATGGATGAGCCGATAGCGTGCACAAAAGAATATATTTATTATTTGGCTACATGGCTCAGCTCAGCTAAGCTAAATTGAACTTGTTCTTCTTTTCTAGGTGCATAATCGGATCAGGGTTGGACTCACTCCATTAATTTTATCATTTTCAATTTTTGTGAACATCAATCATCCATTAAAGATATGTCACATTATATTTAATTTAAAAACTCGTTTAATGCCTGACATGAAGAATCATATTCATTTGATTCACTGTGCAAGAATATCTTCATATTTAAAAGATGAAAGATAAGTGCTTGCTATTGACATCATTTATTATATAATATCGGGTGCCTAGCTTAATCAAATGGTAAAAATCATATTAATTAGTTGTTTGATATCCATTGAATGATAACACTAAATATTTTTGTTTCAACCCTTCATCATGTGTTTTAAAAGAGAATGACATATTATTATACTACAGGTTTTGATATTTTAAAAAGAGGTTTTTAGAAAAAATGAGTGGCTCAATTAAATTAAAGAGTATTGATAGCGAAAACTCTCCGAATCTGATTTGGTTAAGTCACGTTAAAATTTAAAAATAAAAGATTCTTACTCAAAAAAAAGAAAAAGAAAAAGGGAAAGCACCTTCCTCTTTCCCCTTACAAATAGAAAATTAAAAACTCTCCATAATTGGAGAGGGAGAACAAAAGAAAATAAACATTATCCGGAAATTACTTGTTCCCGTATTTCCTAAATCTAAATTTATGAAGTAAAAATTCCTATAACTATACAATTTGTATATATCAAATCATTTCAAAAGTCAAAACTTCCTTAACTACTGATTTTAACAAAACAAGGGGAAGAGAAAAGTTTTTAGTTTCGTGTTTGTGAGGGAAAAGAGGAAGCACCATATTTTCCTTCTTTTTTTTTTTCTTTCTTTTTTTTCTTTCCTTTTTTATCCTTTCACATACCATACTACACTTTCTTTTTTTAACTCTGACTTGGCTTAACCAAATTAGATTTGAGGAATTTCCCATTTTCTCTTTCATTAAATACTTGTAAATATACAAAGGTTTTTTCACATGGTTGAAATAGCACAAAGGAAATTGATTAACTTTTTACTAATTTTGGGAATTATTTGAAGAATCAATATTTGTTGTATGAAAATTATTGGAAAAGGGGAGCGCGCGCACACACACGTGTATATATATATATTGAAGAAAAAAAATAACACAATATATATTATTAATAAACTTTTTCTACTAATTAGGACTTCAATCACATGTTAATAATCTGGGAGGCTAATTAATGTCAGTGAAGGTTCCTTTTTTTATTTTTTTATTTTTATTTTTTTTTTGGGAAGAAAAACACACACAACCATATAAGAGACTTGAACTCTCGACTTTCTCCTTTGAAAAATAATGAAATTCCACAAAACACTTCATTTGGAAATTCATGAATTTGCATATTCCAATAAAATATTAGATAAGTTGGTGCAATTAAGTCACATCTTTTGCCAAGAAATTAAATTTCTAATAATGATTTGAAGTTAAAATGAATCGAGTTTGTTTGAGATGAATAGTTCAATCTCTGCCTGTGCTCTTGACAAGCGGAGCATGCATGCTCGAGCTAGGTTAGCATGATTATTTGTCAGCTCCTAAAACAAAATTTTTATTTTTAATACCTTTTATTACACTTTTAATTAATAAATTTTTAAAATCAGACAAGAACATATATATTGCAGAAGTATTCACTGGCCAAATCTATCAGTTATTCGAGTTAATAGTTTAGACATAAGTCGGAGTTACTATTCAATGAGACCATTTTTTACTAATTTGAAGATAACCCTAACAGTGAGATCGCAGCTAGATCATAAATCATTGTACAAGGAAACAATTGTGTATTAATGCCTACTACAATTGATAAATTTATACTTGTTAAAAATGGACATTTATAATAAACAAAAATAAATATATTAGGATGAACCACTAAAACTGATGTAAGACACTTTTCCGTGTTTAGTAATTTTTATATTTTAGATTTCTTATTTATTTTTTTTTATAATTTTTTTATAGGAAGTTTAATTTTAGTTAGTTTTTTATGAATTATTTTTCTTTTACTATTAGGTTTCTTTATATTTTAGTTTTCTTCTAGAGCTAGGTTTTCTATTGCAAAGTGTGGAATTAACTTTTATTCATTTAATTATTAATACAAATATCAGATTTTTCTGAAATTATATTTTGTTTTGTGCATTCAAAACACCTACGTTGTGGACTCAAGATAATCTGTTTCTCGTGAACAAATTTATCACTTCCACTTACGTCAAAAATTCCTGACCTACCATTTTTTTTTTCTCATTTATAGTAAAATGTATGAGATTTTAAGTTTTCCAAAAGCATTATGAAATATTGATTTTGGTTTCACATAATAATTAAAGAGAGAAATTATTGTAATTATGCAAACTTAAGGGAATGATGTTCAGAAAATAGATCCAATATATTATGAAATGTTCATAGTCAAAGTTGACTTTTCACACTTGAATACTGAGCCGCCAAAACATATGAAATGAGCAAAATTTAAGGAGCAGCACATGATATGCTTATAGAAATTGGAGAAGTGTTTTATTTTTTTTATTTTTATTTTTTATTTTATAATTGAAACGCCAAAAAAATAATTGTGATAAAAAAGACAATGAGATTATTATAGTAATTAAATTTCTTTGATATTCTGAGATAGCAATAAATATATAGAATCATGATCAATGAAATATATATATGTACACATATTCAAATAACAGAGATATTGTATGGCATCTACCAAGAGAGATTGTGGCCATTGGCTTATATTTTGAGAGTCAGAAGACTCATAACTAATTATTTTGGTTGCCAGAATATTTTGAAACTTCCTTAATCCTTCTTATGTTATGTTATGTTATGTTGGAGGATTCTAAAGATCGTAATTTATTTTTTATTATAATATATTTCTTTCTATTTGTTAGGGAAAAGAAAATCTTTTTTCCAAAATGAATATTAAATTCTCTTTTTAAATAATTGTCTGATGTGAAATTTTAACCGTAATATGATGATCTTATGTAGACTCAATTTTCTCTCTTCTACAAAAATATTTGTATTAAAAAAATATTTGCACCCAAAGTTTTCTCCAAGTTTGTTTTCAAATGGCAAATTGTCAACATTACAGCATTGATGAAAATTTCGTACAAAACTATTTTCCTCGCAATTTACAAACTTTGACCCACTGATCATTCATTGATCTATCAGGTGGCCCCACCTATACAAGAATTATCAATTCTTTTTAACAATAAATAATTTGATAGACTTCAACAGTAGACTTCTTAGGATTTGTTGGGATAGTAATTTCGTTTTGCGTTTTTATTTTTATGCAAAGCAAAAAATAATAACTTTATTGTGCTCAATAATAATTGAAAGTATATTTGGTAATACAAATTTTGATATAGAATTTTTGAAAGCAAAAATATAAAACGTATTTATAGTAAAAAAATTGTTGCAAGATTAAAAAAAAAATAGTTAGTTAAAAAATCCCATTTGGAATTTTTTTTTCCGGATACTATTTGCAGCTAAAGTTTTTTGCTACACTTGAAAAATTAATATGTTTTCGATTTGGGCTTCTTTTCGACAACAGATATAAATTTTACAAATCACAACAAAAGTTACCAAATCAATTTCAGTCATTTTGTGATATCTTATTAAGAATAATGCTAAAAATAACAATGTTCATAACAAATAAGGATAATTTAGATAAAATTTCTCTCTAAGTGTCTAATTTAATAATTGTCACAATTGATAAAATTTTCTATCATGTTCAATCGTTTTGACTTCACTTTCCTTTGTTGAATAATTTCGATTGCAGTAGAGCATCTAATTATTACCCTTTTTATTGATTCATCATTTAATCAAGATTCATCATTTAATAATGGTTCCTTATCTAACCCAATATTCAATTATGTACAGCAATTTTCTTGGGCTACAATTGGAAAATGAGCCGAGCCGGGTCGAGAGCCAAGCCAAGCCCAACTTCATCAACTAATTTTCTCTAACTTACGACTCTGTTTTCCTATTAATATATATATATATATATATTTTTGGTTCCCAAAGTCCAAAACACAAAAACACACACCGATTTCATTTGGCGCGTTAAAAATGCTCTTATGCAACTCTCTCACTCTCTTTCTCCCTAGAGAGAGAAACACAGCTTCTCAAGAATGAGTAAACCGAAAAACCAAGATGACACCAATTACGACCATGGACATTAACAACACCACCGACCCATCTAAGCTTCTTCACTCTCTCTCTTCTCATTACTCCCAGAGGATCGGTAAGAGATCTGCCTGTGCTATTCTCTCTCTTCTTCTGCTTCTCCTCTTGGCTTACAATGGCGCCTCTATATTCTGTGTAGACGTTCCTTTTCCGGCCAAAACCCCGCCCGAACCTTTCACGCCTGAAACCTCCGCCGGAGAATCAAGAAAATGGCAGTCCTCTTCCACGAAGCTCTCTTCTTCTCTGATGCTCGCAGTGAAAGACGAAAGCCCACCTTCTATGGCTTCTATACCGAAAACCCATTTGCCCCTTTTGAAGAAATCACAAAGTTCGGTTCTTTTCAGGAAATATTCTTCGATTCACAAGCCGATCAAACAGAGGCAAAAACAGAGATCCCTGTTCAAGATTCTGCAATCGGACGCTCGCACAAAGCTCTTTTCACCAAGAGTGAAGGAGTTTTTCAAGTCAAAGTCGTCGAATTCTTCGTGCAAGGTTCGGTTTTTCATGACTTGGATTTCTTCACTGGAATCATTTAGTGAAAGAGAATTGTTTTCAATACAGAGTTTGTTCAAATCTCACCCAAATGCCTGTTTAATCATAGTATCGAATTCAATGGACTCCAGAGGTGGACTCCAAATTTTAAGGCCCTTTTCGGATAAAGGGTTTCGAGTTACATCTATTTCACCGGACTTCGATTACTTGTTCAAGAACACGGCGGCTGAATCTTGGTTTGATCGGTTAAAGAAAGGGAATGTTGATCCCGGAGGGATCTCATTAGGTCAAAACCTCTCCAATCTGCTTAGGCTTGCTCTGCTCTACAAATTTGGGGGTGTTTATATAGACACTGATGTGATACTTTTGAAAAGCTTTGCAAAATTGAGAAATTCAATAGGTGCACAAACTATGGATGTTACAACTGGTAATTGGAGCAGACTGAACAATGCTGTGATGATATTTGACAAGGGTCATCCACTAGTTTACATGTTCATTGAAGAATTTGCACTCACTTTCAATGGTAACAAGTGGGGTCACAATGGGCCTTATTTGGTTTCTAGGGTTGTTTCCAGGCTGAAAAGAGGGCCTGGTTTGGACTTCAATGTGTTGCCTCCCATGGCATTTTATCCGGTTGACTGGAATCGAATTCAGACGCTGTTCATTGGACCGATGAATGGGGCTCACTCCAAATGGCTGAAGGCAAAGCTGAGGCAAATTCGGAGCCAAAGCTTCGCGGTGCATCTTTGGAATAGGCAGAGCAGGAAGCTTGAGGTTGAAGAAGGAAGCATTATTGGTCATATAAAGCAAGATTGTTGTGTCTTCTGCAATTCTTCGGCATCCAGTATGTGATTGTGAGTGAGTATAGAATAAGGATGATGAAGCAATGAATCCTCTCTCATACAAATTGTTGAAATGTTGTTGTTTGTACGTGGTTATGGACCAACTCAGTTCATTCCACCATTTTACTCATCAAGATTTATACTCGGTTTAAGTTGTCATAGGAAAACAAAAAACGAAAAAAATCAAATTGTGCGAGTGGTGTCTCATCTTTATGTAACACGATATATTTTTCTCTTTCTTTTACAAGTTGTGAATTGGGCATGGTGACGAATACTGTAATTTTTTTCTTTCTTTCATCATCTCTTGCTCATTTTATTTATTTTTTATTATTTTTTATATAGGTGCTGAAATATATTGTATTGTAGTGAATAATCATGTCATTTTTATTTTCTGTTTTCTTTTTTGAAAAAAAATATATCTAAAACCTAAGATATTGATCTAATTAGGAATGGCAACGGAGCGGGCTTGGAGCGCGTTTCCCTAAATCCCATCCCACCCCATTTATTTTTTGTCAAGTCCATGCCCACCCCGAGACTCTCGACGGGTTGGATTTTCATATTCAGCCCCGCCCCGTTGGAAAATACTATGCCCCCGTGCCCGCCCCGCTAACAAATTTTTTTCTCCCACTTTTTGGAACTTAAGCTCCTGTTATTTGAATGTGGAAAGTCTGGGAATGGCACAACATAAATGAAATTATATATCCTAACAAAAATAAAAAAAAATAACATGCACATAACATAATTCAGAGAACATAATAAATAAAAATAAAAGTTTAATACAACCAAATTACAAGAAGTTCTAAACTCCAACTTCCACCATAACCAAAACAAAAGCAAATTTAATACCAAGTTTATATATATATATATATATATATATATATATATATATATATATATATATAATATAGTTATATGCTTCGCGGGGCGGGGCAGGGCTCATAGAATATGTATATTGAACCCTTACCCGCCCCGTGACCCGCGACGGATACAAAATTTGTATTCAGGCCCGCCCCAACGGTATAAAAGTATTCCCATATCCGTTATTAACGGAGCGGGACGGGGCTGTAAAAATTGACATCCCTAGATCTAATACTAGCTTACAGTAGAGATGGCAACGGTCCCCACAACAGTTTGAAACCCCGTCCGTCCTCGCCCAAAATCGCCTAAATGGTGGACCTTTCCACCACACCTCGCCTGTTTAACTTTTTTAACTCCGCATGCACCCGCTCCGTTTAGTTCACAATCAATAATTTAACATAAAATTCAAAGGTATAAGCATTCTTAGTTCGCAGGGTTTTGTCGTTCATTAAAACGGTTGAGAAAGTGAGTGAATATAACTTAAGATTTCTAGCGCTAACTGTACATACTATGAAAATAAGGATAATATTTAGGAAAAAAAAAAAGAAAAAAGAAAAGAAAAGAAAAGAAAAGAATAATTTAATAATTTACTTACCTAAATAGGGCGGGGCAGAGTGGAGTGACCTCCCATTCCCCGCCCAAATAAACTAAACGGACAAATTGCCATCCCTACCTAAATGGGGCGAGGTGGGGCAAGTACCCATCCCCACGGGACAAATAGCCATCCCTACTTATAAGCCTCCTGGTTCCACTATTCGGCTACATAGTTTTTGTTTTTTTGTTTTTGTTTTTTTTTTTTTTCAGGTTTATTTATCTGATTATTTTTTTGAACTAGCTAAAAGTTATTGGCTTGTTTAGAGTGTGAAGGTGTCATCTTTACACGCTGTGTGTTGTTTTATGTCAGTTGCAAGCCTGGTAAAATAAGAATTTGTTTAATAAATACAGCCCTTTTTCTTCACAATTGTATTCTACAAAATTTTAGTATTTTAAATAATGAAATTCATTAAATTCTAAAAAAAATCAACTCAATCTATCTTATTTCTGATTTTTATGTAACAAAAATCTCAAATAGCCCAATTCATTTATTTTTCATCTTACAGCAATAATTTTGTATTAATTAAAGTAGTAAAACACATACTAAGGCAAGAAATCTTTTGAACAAATACAAATTTTCCATTTTGATTTATGATTGTAGCATCTGGTCATCAATTCCTCACAAAAATAGTGTGGGGTTTTGGAAGCTTAAACTTGCAATTTCTGTGATCCAACTGCCTATGACTACTAATATTAGTTGAAACACACTTTTAGGTGAAGTTGAAGCAAGATTATTATTGCCTACTTACCCAATAAAATTGAAAAAAGGATCATCTTCGCGTGAATTACTGATCTTCTCAGTTCATTTGATTAAGCAAGTTTCATGTATCTAAGCTTTACTTGTTTAATAGAAAACGTAGGCATTTCAAGGATAGGGACGTCTCTCGTCTTTGTCGATGACTTTTTCATATATGCTTTCTTCATTTTATTTATATATACAATCTACAGTATTTTATATTGAGATATATATATATATATATATATATATATATATATATATATATTTAAATGGGGTAGTTACAGTTGTGATATATGGGTTATCAAGAATTAGTCAGAACAAAAACTAAATGAGAAATGCATTAATATACATGCAGTTGGTAACCACTGCCCAAAATTTACCATTAGCACGCCCTCATTTCATATTTGACTATTAGGGATGACGATTTCTCTGCAGACACACCACTCATCAGATAGATTTAGTGGACACTAATATCCAATCTTTTAATTACATTGCGTACCAAAATATATCTACTATAATCAGTTAATAACTATATACAGTATATATGTAGGAGTATATATAAGCAGCGCCTCTTCCTTAAAGTGGAACAACCCTGGGTCTCGCTCCTAAACCGGGTCATTGCGCCTTTTTAATTCATTTATTGTTTTCTATTTTTTAAGCCTTTCTATATTACTAAATACTTGGTAATATTTTCTGTTTTCAATTGTTCAAAAACAATGCTTATAAATTATAATCACTGATAATTCGATAAACAACAATATTTTAATAAAATCAAAGTTCAAAATTAACACATTAGTGAAATGGGTGGTTAAAGTAACAAATTGAGTGAAAGTCGACTAAGATGGTTTTAGTCCGTTGCAAAAAAAACCATTAAGTGCATCAATTTTTTTTTTTTTTTTAAAAATGACATAGTTCGCATTAAAATTAATGTTTGGGGGATCGAAGGAGAAAACAAAAGCTAGCTTGAGTAGACTTAGTAAGTAATGATATAGAAAACTGATATATTAGCAGGTGGTTCGACTAGGACTGTGATCTCAGATAGAGCAAAATTATAAATAAAAAAAAAAATAGAATTTATGTAACCAACTCTATCTAAGTGCTTGGAAAAAAAGTTCTATTGAGTTAAACAAGGTGAGTACTATTTTTGTTTGTCGTACTCTGTTTGTTTGGACGTAATTTTTTTTTTTTGAAAATATTTTCTTTTTTCAGGTAAAATATTCTTTTATTTTTACTTTTTCGGTGTTTAGTAAAAGTATACGTCAAGGTTGAGTTCATCGTGTGTGGCATGTAAAATATCTTGTCGAAAATTGATTATTTTTGTTTAATTTTAATATTTTTTTATTTCGTAAATCTTTTACGACAACCAAATACCAAATATATATATATATATATATATATATATATATATATATTTTGAAAAATATTTTACATTTAAACAAACGGAGCCGATGTGAAGTAATTTTCAAATAGGGCCTATGCTGAGAAAAAAAAAAAAAAAAAATTATCATAATAGATATTAAGATGTTAGTGGGTAATAGGTTCAAATTAGTTCTAGAAAGAGAACCAAATAGTTTGGTTCTGAATGTAACAGCGCTTCCTTTGCAGCTATGCTTAATCGTGGTTGGTGAGAAGATTTGCAATAATTTATGGTTGCACATGGCTATATTCTCTCTACCTACCTGTGTACGGACCGTGCTAGGGCTACATATTTTGTCTAATCGCTATCTTCCCGTGGACTTGGATTGTTGTTGATATCTTCTTGATGAATCAAGGGTGTTGATCTCTCAAACCTACAAGGGTATTCAAAGGGGTTAGTAGGTTTGGATCGAACTCGAATCCTCTCTTGTGCACTAAACAGTCCAATACATAGAGAATAGTGGAGATTAGGACTGTCCGGCAAAGAAGAGAATCCAAATCCAAATCCCTTGTGGGCACACGCTAACCTGCGAACATTACTAATCAAGCTACTAAAACCTTTATGAATTTTTATACTTTGTTGTTTCTTAATGCATTTTGATCCCTATGGAATTCACCAGGTTTCATCCTTTTAGAGGAATTCAAGAAATTACACACCCACACACATATATATATATTCACTATATTTATATCTGGAATGTTGCAATTTTGAAATTATGGGTTTATATCATACACAGTTCAGATGAATAAAGATCAAAGAAATGAAAACTGAAAATAGTCAAATATGACCATGAATATATGTTCTCTTTATTCCCATATCTTCTTTGCAACATAACGGGAAATTATCAACACAAATACAAGTGATTTGTCCAAATATTGTACTTTTTGGAAGCACAAACTATGTTGTCCTTAAATTCTTTTATTTGCCCTACTTTGGACAAAACAAAGCCATCAATATAATTCCTAGCACATTGTGAACCACATGTAATCTAAACTCTTTATCTTACAAAAAAATTTAATGTAAATGAATTTAAAATAAGATATGTATGCAATATGCTCCGAACAAGTGCAGGCATGAGTCTTGAACAAAAGCAATGCAACTCTGGGACTAAAAAATTTACCCCCTTGGTTGCCCCTGACTGAATGTAGAGTTTCTGATGGGTGTTTGCCCTTTATTCTGTGCCAGCATATTTTTGTCTCGACAAATCATGTAAGAATGTAAGATCATGGTTTAGCAACCGAGCATGCTCAGCTACTCATTTGCTTTTGCACTAGGTGCTCAACATCTCCAAGCTCCAATTCTCCTCCTTGCAATTGTGTCTCATTCTGAAATAGCATTTCAATCTCCTCTAAAGACTTCCCCTTTGTTTCCGGAACACATTTGTAAACAAAAGCAACAGAGAGGGCTGAAATAGCTGAAAAGACAAAGAATGTTCCAGCGACTGTAATTGCATGGGACACGGAGAGGAAAGACATAGCAACCAGGCCACTACTGACCCTACTCCCCACTGCCCCAAGTGCTGATGCTTGAGCTCGAAGTCTTAGAGGGAAGATTTCAGATGACAAAACCCAACAAACCGGGCCAATTCCCACTGAGAAGAAAGCTACATTCCCACACACTGATAAAATTGCCAATTTGATCCCAATTGAACTATCCCCCAGTAAAGATAAGGTAAGGCCTAGACTGAACAAACAGGTTGTCATTCCAATTGTACTCACAAAAAGCAATGGTTTTCTACCTACCCTATCAATGAGAAATATTGCTACCAATATGAAAATGGTTTTTGTGAATCCAACAGCAACAGTTGCGGCAAGAAGCTGAGTGTTATTGCTGATTCCAGCATTTTTGAAAATTGTGGGGCTATAATACACAGTTGCATCAATACCAGTAATCTGTTGGAAACACTGGATTCCACAGCCAGTTATCAGCATCCGACGTACTCCAGGAGAAGGATTCAATAATTCACGCCACACAGCTCTCTCTTCATACTTTCCAGCATTAGTATGTCTGGCAGCTAATTCGATTTCTGCTAATCTCTCCTCCACTTCACTTTCAATTTCATTTATCTTCAACAAAACTGATCTTGCTTCATCAATCCGGTTTTTCATTACCAACCACCTTGGGGATTCCGGGATAAAAAACAGTGCAAACCCCATAAAAACTGAGGGCAGAATTCCCACAGCAAGCATTATCCTCCAGTTTATATGTACCGGAAGTCCTGAAAATGCATAATTTGAGACATAACCGAGAAGGATTCCTAGATTAATGAAAATCTCAGGGAAGGAGGTGAGAGAGCCTCTGCTAACAGCAGGTGAGATCTCAGCAATGTATACGGGTGCAATCATGATTCCGAAGCCTATCCCAATCCCAGCAAAGAGTCTTCCTATCATTAGTACAAAAAAGGAAGGAGCAAGAGCCATTATAGCAGCACCTGTTTGAAATACAATGGCGGCGAATGCCATGGTCCATTTTCTACCAATGGCATCTGATGTTTTACCCCCAGCTAAACTACCTAGAAGTGAAATTATGCTTAAGATTCCAACAAGGACCTCTTCTTGTACCTCGGTTATCTTCAGATCCTCTTGAATAAATATAATTGCTCCACTCATGACACCCACATCTGCATATAGAAGATATAGTGTTAACAAACTACAAATTAGGTCAATACTAGCAATTAGTTTGCAGAACAATGCGATTAAAAAAAAGCTTGAGTTCAGCTTTTAAACATTATCTATAATGGATGACTGCAGTACAATAAGCTGTTGGTTATCAATTTTCCAACATGGGTACTTTTCAGCAACAACTACATTTTAGGTGCCTCCCACTGTTGAGTAGCGACACTAATGCTGCATTTGGGAGCACCAAATTGGCATCTTAGAATTGAAATTGGAGAAAATTAGTTCAATCTAATTCCAAGAAGCCAATTCGGTGATCCCAAATATAGTTTGAATGTAGTTATGTAAATGCGTTCCTTCAACTACTCTCACTTGTCCCCACTGTATTACACACACACATTTCACAAGGAACAGTTTAATCGAATTCGCCAAAAAAGTTCTCCATATGAGCTAACCGAACATAGGGTTTTGTAGCGTGTGAATGTGAAAAAATCTATCTTTGAACATTGAATAGTAATTAGAACAACAACCAAGCCTTTTTCCGTTTATTTGGAGTCAGCTACATGAATCCTATGTTTTCATTATGCTCTTTTTAAGGCATTCTAATCTAACCCTATGAATAGAGATTACAAGTAAAAAAAATTATGAATTCCCTTCATTAGTATTAATCTAATACAATTAATATTGCATTACTAAATCCAAATTAGATTGAACCCATCAATCCCATAATAATTTGATGCGAAACATATCAAATAAACAGATCAATTAGAGAAACAGATCAAAACACAGAAGAGATTTGAAGAAAAAAAAAAAGAAAAAAAAGAGACACTAACCATAACCAAGAAGCACAGAATTGAAAGAGGCAAAGACGGCACAGGCAAAAATATATGTCCTCGTACTGTTGGTCCTTTGTTGCTGATGATAATCATCATGTGAGAGTGAGACACCATCTTCTTCCACAATATCAGGATCCATTCTCTTGTACTTGTTTTTGCCACCTTCAACATTCTCCTGAAATCCCATCTCTCTTTTCCACTAAAAATTTGAGATCTATCTCAAATATATCAAAAAGAACATTAGCTGATCATAGATTGGAGGAAATAGAGAGAGAAAGATAGAGAAAAATTTATGTCTGAATGTTGACTGCAATTGAATTTTCTAAATTTTTCTTGGTTTTAGACCAGGAAAGGTATGAGGGGAAGCTGTGTGTTAGTGTGGGTCCCACCTAAAATTATAGTTTAGGTAGTACATCGTCTTTTCCATTAGGAAGCAAAGAACACCTCTCCTGTTCCGGCAAAAGGAAGTAAAAGCTGAGTTATTATATTATTACCTGCAATTCGATGCTTTACTGTTGCTTATACTTATCGAATGATTTTGTTGTTCTCAGATTTCTTCTGTTTCAAAACTTTAAAAATTATGAATGAAAATAATAGAGAAATATAATTTGATAAAATATTTCTCAAATTATATTGTACCAAGTATAACTTTAAAGAAAATTATACATTAAGGCTCCGTACGTAAAATATTTTTTAAAAATACAAAAATATATATTTTTTATTTTTCGGTGTTTGATTGGTGTAAAATATTAAAATTTAACAAAAATAATTTATTCATAAATTTTCGACAAGTTATTTTACATGTCCAGTCCTATAGACTCGATCTTAATCTCCATTAGATTTTTGTTAAATACCGACAAAGTAAAAATAAAAGAATATTTTATCTGAAAAAGAACAAACGGAGCCTAATACTCAAATGCACAGTAAACTTATGTGAAAAATTGAAGGTTCAACTTGTTTGAGAGAGTTGAATAGGAGTTTGGATTCTCTACCCCGCGAGTCCAATAACTAAAAATTGATTATTTAAAATTATTTTTATATTTTTAAATTTAAATTATTTAAAAATAAAAAATAATAAAGATAAAAAAATTTCTATTTAAATTAATTTTATTGACACCCAGTCAACTTTAATAAAAAGAAATGAAGGGAATAAAATAACCTTACTTTCTTTGTTTCCCAAGTACCCAAATGCATTGACCGTGACTCATCATGAGACATATTGCCCAAGTGTTGATTGAAGATTGAAGATTGAAGATTGAAGAAGAATTTAGGGCTAGTTTGGTGAGGTGAAATAGAATAAAAGAAAGTAAAATGGAATTATTATTTTTTTTTTTTAATTCTGGTGTTTGGTGCGTAATTTTAAAGTTGGAATCATCATTCCTCACTATTCTTGGGAATGACCATTTCATCAAAATCATTCAATCAAAATCATTCCACCTTCAAACAAAAAGAATGACCATTTCATTCTCACTTTAAAAAAAATAGCCTAAAAATAAAATAAAAAATAAAGTTGAGTCTCAACAAATTACGAACCCACATCAATCCCGTAAACACACCCACATCAATCTTGTAAACACACCAGCGATGAATAAAGAAGAAAGAAGCGAAGCAGGCCCCTTCGAGCAAAAAAAGGGTTTGATCTAATGATGAAGTGAACTGAAACGGCGGCGACTATGAATAATTTTGACCAATTTGCTAAACGTCACCGGAGAAGATGATCAAAAAATTCGTCGGGCAAGTGAGATCTACATGCAGAACTTCAGGTGGCACGTAGCGTCGTATGGGGTTGTTCTTTGCACCGTGTCGTCTTGGTACATTAGACTTTCGTCTGTGATTTGTTGCTATATAATCGGTGGTCTCAATTAAAAACACCACCGCCGGATACATAGAAACACCACCGCGATACAAATTCTCCGGCGACGACGCCTCCCCTCTGTTCAATCACCTACTTCTCTCCATCGTCTCTTCTTGTCCCTCTGTTTCTTTTTTCACGTCTATTTTCTCTCTCTATCTTGTTTATTTTCTCTCGCTCTTATCTCTTCTCCCTTTTAGCTAATTTTTTTTTACTAATAATAAAATATAATCTAAAGAAATAATATAAATTCATTCCATTCCAACTTTCTTATCAAACACAGGAATGAGAATGAGCATTTCATTTTTACACATTCCATGTTTACAACCAAACGATAGAATAAGAATCATCATTCATATTCCATTCTCTTCTTATTCCATTCCCACCCCTATTCTAATTCATTCCACCACACCAAACTAGCCCATAATGTAAATCGACAATAACTCTTTTTCACAATCAACTGTTATTAAAACAACCCAACAATACTTGAGACATCTAACCAACTAAAATTTTTAAGAGAGTGATTTGGTTACCCTCTTTTCTTTTCTTCTCTTCTTCTTCTTCTTCTTTTTTTTTTTTTTTTTTTTTTTTTTTTTGGGTAAATTGATTTTGTTACTTGATTCACAGTTGTATTGGTGTGGTCAAATTGAGTTTAGAGAGAGAATTAACTTCCACCAAGGTTCTAATTGTCTTATTTGAAAAAGAATTACACTATAAACATGAAATTGCAAAGGGTCAAATGCAAAAAATACCTTTAAAGTATGTTTACAGTGTATATCACACCATTCACATGTAAAAAATATCTCTAAAATTTCAATTTGGTGCAAATAGGTCCCTCTAACAAATTTAAACTCTAAGTTGACTAAATTACTATTTTATAAAATGTATAAAAATAAAAAAATTTGTAAAATGATCAAAAAAGACACTATTCTAGGATGTCTCTCTCGTGCAAAAATACCCCTAAAGTTTCAATATGATGCAAATAGGTCTTTACTGTATCATTTTATAAAATATATAAAAATAAATAATTTTAAAAAATTACCGAAAATGATACCATTGGAGGACGTGGCAATGGACAAGTAAAGATAAAAATATAAAATAAAAATAAAAGTATAAAAGAGAAGTAAAGATAAAAATAGAAAATAAAGTGAAAATTAAAGAAAATAAAATTTTTCCAAACTCTGAAAATCAGTGCACATTGATATTAAGATTTTTTTTTTTTAAAACAATGTTGGTACATAAATAAATAAAATAAAGAAGAAAAAAAAATTAGTAAAAAAGAGTAAACTAAAATCTCAAAAAATTCAAATCCTTAGTAAAAGAGCAAAATGGGTATTACATTACTAATTTCTGTAAGGAGTATTTTTGCACAATGTGAAAAGATTAGGGATTTTTTTTTACATACTTTTTCAAATAAACGATAAAAATACTATACAAAATATACTTTAAAAGTATTTTATGCACTTGTCCCGGTTACAAATGCAAAGAACTTGAGCAAAATTTAAATACTTTGCCAGAGGAAAAAACTTCACCAAATGTAAGTAAAAGGTAATTAACATTGCATTGAAAAGGAAATTCAAAAGTTTGCATGTTTTTGCAGCAAAGTCCCTTGCTTGTCTTATTTATAAATCCTAACTTAACAAACTTCCTAATTAAGTGCAAAAGAGATAGCAATAAACTGACACCAAATGTAAGTAAAAGGTAATTAACATTGCATTGAAAAGGAGATTCAAAAGTTTGCATGTATTTGCAGCAAAGTCCCTTCCGTGTCTTATTTATAAATCCTAACTTAACAAACTTCGTAATTAAGTGCAAAAGAGATAGCAATCAGTTCCCACATAGCTTTGTTGCTGCCGATAAGAAGTGGAGATGAGAGATGGACCGATAGAGAAAAAGAAGAAGAATAGAGGAGCAGGGTAGTCATGGTGATATTTAACCATAGGTGTTGGGTCACAAAATGTGGTGGTGATGGTGGAATTGGCCGGTCTCTATTTTAAATTTATATAATCAGAGTGAAAGGTTATTTAAGTTATTTCAATCCTTTCTTAGGTCAATAAATAGTCATTTTACCTGCAAAAGGGTTGATACACTTAAAAAGTAACTTTTAGGATGTAAGTAAAAAATAGAATAAACGTTTGTAATATAAGTGATAATTATTTTTTAAAAGTATTGAGTGTGATATTTGGCCAAATGAGTATGAGTGTAATTAACCCTTTCTATTTTTTTTTTTATTATTATAATTTGATAAAACCATTTGAAGCATATCTCATATATCAAATTTTATAGTTTTTTTTTTTTTTTTTATTAACTCGGGGTGTCTGGAATGACACGAACCCTTAGGGATCTTCAACAACCGGACTAATTCCTAAGGACCCGGAATGGCTCCTCCCCACCTGAACAAGGTAAGTCATTGCAGAGACAACGGAGACTAGTCACAAAGAATACCAAGCGGGACTCGAATCCCAAACCTTGGGCTTACTAAGCTCCAAAATTCAACGAGTAAACCGCTGCGCCATATCCGAATTGGATATCAAATATTATAGTTTTTCAAGGATTTTAGTGTTTTTTATAATTATAACTGAAATTAAATTTTAGTAAATGCTAATTATCTTTTACTGCAAATTAGTCGGTATTGATGTAGTTTTTACTCTATAAAAGTCAGTGGGGTCGAACAATTTGTTTAAAGGCTGTTACTAATATGTTTTAATGGAACCGTCTTGAATGAGATTAATCAATGTGTTGCAATGGAGGAACATATTGAATAAATTGATTACTTTAATATTATTTTCACAAACTGATTATATTCAAATATCATATTCTACCTTATATAAGTACACCAAGTAATGGTTTTTTCAAATTTACTTTACACAAAGGACATAGAGAGAGACTGACTAATGGTTAACCCGGAAAGGCCATGCCCAAATATGGAAATAAACATAATAATAAGGGTTAAAATCATAAAATTTCAATTCCTTTCGAACTTGTTTAAAAAATTTCCTACACTTTAAAAAATTTATCACATTGTCTTAATATTACTATGGAACCGTATTATAAAATGAGATATTTAATCTTATTATTTAATGTTAAATTAAAAAATAAAAATTTAGATACCCAATTTGTCCCTATTTATACAAATTTGAATTACCATCTGACATTCTACTTACAAAAATAAATAAGTAATTACGAAAAGGTTACATCCCTAGCTTGGTCTGTATTTTTCATAAAAGATCATAAAAAAATCCTACAAAATAAAACATGATAATTTACTTACAACACATAAAATTAACTCAATATCGATCGAGATGCGGTATAAATTATGAAAAAAGATAAATATAACACAAGCATTAATAATATAAAAATGATAGAGTAGTTCATTTTCGTTTAAAGGGGGACTCGATCTCTTTAATATATATATATATATATATATATATATATAGGGGTGAAGTCAAAAATTAAATTTAAGAGGGTACGGTGTAAAATATATTCAATAATCACGATAATAAATATAAATTTTATAAATCAAGAGATAGAAAAAAAATTACTCAAAATAATATATCAATGAATGAGAAATTTAAGAAAGATAAATAGTTAA